TCGCCCGGGGTCGCCACCTGCAAGGCTGCGGCAGAACTGGCTCCTCTCAGTTTTGTTGCGGATTCTGTATATTTAAGCCGGTCATCGCTGCCCTAGGACTAGCGACTCTTTCTGTAGCCCTGGGGATGCCCGCACGAATGTATTTCCGCACATCTTACCCAAACCCCTGCAGCCTCTGAGTGTTTTCCCAGTGGTTTTCCTGTTCCCCAAGCATAGATGGGCTGCAATTCAAGCACATTTTTTTATCATCTATTTATATATCAATTGACTCTTTAAGGGATAGTTAGCAGATTTAAAAAAAAAAATAATTATTACATCTGTGAGTAGGTTAGAAAAGTCCGTGTGAAGAGTGTCATGCATGGACCCCACCTTGATTTTGTTTCCAAGAGCAAGAGTTGAAAAAATATTCTCCAGTACTTCTGCTCAAGTCCTCAACTCGGGCAATACGTCAAGTACGGAAGCAACTTTGAAACTACAGCACTAGTCATAGTTACTCAAACCTGTGCTTCAGGCCCGTCCTTTATTCTTTGGCACCTCCATGGAGGATTTGCCACCCGTTGCAAGAAGCCTGTAGTCTAGATTTAGCTGCACTGCACAGGACAACACATTGCACGTTATTTTGATGTCACAACATTGCTTTTATGAGCCTGAAGGTGCGAGCCTCCCCCGTAACGCACATGCATCAAAGACAGTTAAGAACGTAGAAAATAAAGAAAGGAGGCTTTTCCCTATCGCTCTTCTCACAGGTTCTCCTTTTATACAGTAGGTAATAATCAGAGAGATGTGGGTTTGGCCAACATGGGTTAGAGGAAGCCCAGGGGAAAAAAAAAAAAAGAAAAGGAAAAAAAAAAGGAGGGAGCTTCTCAGGCCTTCCTAGGCTTTGCACAAGAAGCCAGAGGGTTTTTTTTAATATGAATTGAACCCAGCCATTATTTTCCAACTGAAACATTAAAAGAAAAAAAGAAAAAAGAAGAAAAAAAAAGGACAAGTCCTCTCCGCCCTGCCCCGTGCAATGGCGCGCGGCAGGGCCTCACCATGCCTCTCTCCTGCCCGTGCAGAGAACAGCAGCAGCGACCAGAGGCAAGCCTGCAAGAAGCACGAGCTCTACGTCAGCTTCAGGGACCTGGGGTGGCAGGTAAGGGCTGCGCGTGACCTCTGCCTGAGCTGGGGGGGCCTTTGCAAACCTTTGTCAGGCTGCTAGCGATACCAAAGACTAGATTTAGATCCTTGGGGGAAAAAGAATGCATTTTGCCTTCAGCATACTTAACAAGCGGTTCTGCAAAGTTAGGGTATTGCAACGTTAGTGTGGGCCTGGCTGAGAGCGCGACATGCTTAGGCAAGTAAGGAACTGCAGCCACCGGAATTTCCTTGGGCAGCTGTGAGTGCACTTACTGCTCTTCACTTTCATCTGTCCGTTCTTCTAGGCCCGACTGAAGAGATTTTCATTTCTGAAAGCTTGTTACCTGCCTTTCAGTAAGGGATGAAGGGATCCTTGTGGGCAGCCAGGAGGATGCTGTTGAACGGCTGATAAAACTAAACCCTAAGGCTCAGCTGCTCTGTGGGCATGTTTGCAGAGCAGGACAGGTTCCTCCAGGGCAACATTAGAAAGGCCAGCTTACCAGATTTTTATTTTTCAGCTTACTGTAACTGTATGCAGACATATGAATTGAAGGATTTATATGCTGTTCACGTTCTCATTTCACTGTGCAATATTTAATATCTTCCTCCACAATCTAACATATCTTCAATTTAATCAAGGACTGGATCATCGCTCCAGAAGGCTACGCTGCGTATTACTGTGAAGGAGAATGTGCTTTCCCGTTGAATTCATACATGAATGCTACAAATCATGCCATTGTACAGACACTGGTAGGTGCAATTTAACTTGTAATATAGAGTTATTTGTGATTTGTGCAAAAAAAAAGTTCCCTAAGCTAATGAGAAAAGGAAGCTCTGCATTAGCTCATTAGGATGCCTGCAGCATCTGGCTAAACATGTCTAGCCAAGTGGCCTGAATTAATAGTTGGCTAGGAATTACCCTGTCTTTGCTGCAAGCGTTGACATGCTCTCTCTAGTTTCAAGGGGCCCTGCGATACACATTTTAACGGTATAGTCCCAGTGCATAGGAAGGAAAAAGCAGGATGTGAGATCCAGAATCAGCATCGCTTGGAAAAACTCTGCAAGAATCTCCTGTGTGCTGCTGCCAAAAGCAGATTTGGGGCAGACTGAGGAGGGGTCGGCGAGGCTCTGTGTTTCACAGCCCAGCTGCTCCACGGGCATATTTATCTTGTGAAACAGAGCAGGGTGCAAAGGCCCAGTTTCCTCTGCGCAGTTTGGGCTCCTCCACGTTTTCATCTCCACCCTATTTTGCATCAGGCGCTTTCTTGTGCCTGTGCAGTGACATTGCAAAAAGCGTTAGGGAAGCTAGAAATGCTGATGTTTCCAAGAGAAGAAATTTCTGCATGTTTTTCTCCTGAGTTTTGTTTTTTGTTTTGTTTTTAAACTTAGTTTTTCCCTCTGCTCAGCAGGGAGCGCGGGAGCCCCGGAGCGGCCGGCTCCCGCAGGGGTTGCGGGCGCTGCCAGCCGCCCTGCTGCAGGAACAGAGCCCCAGCTCCGCGCTCGGGCAGGGTTTCACACAAAGGCTCGCCTGCACCTCATGCAGAGTTTATCGTAACTGGTACACTGCTGCAAAACGCTGACTGTTGTGACAAATGGGAATTTCCTAATGAAAACCTGCTTCACTGAAAGATTTCCAAGCAGATGCGAGCTGGGTGCGCGCGCGCGTCGGCCGCGGTACACGCAGGCGACAGCTCAAGACGCTGGTGCGCGAAGCCAGGTGCTCGAAACATGTTGGCGTGAGCGCTTGGGAGAGACAGGAAAGAAAAACATGGGGGAGGAGAAGGGAAAGGTAAATCTTAACGTGCCTCTACTTTCCCTCCCTAGGTTCACTTTATAAACCCGGAGACTGTGCCGAAACCCTGCTGTGCTCCTACACAACTCAATGCCATCTCAGTGCTCTATTTTGATGACAGCTCCAATGTTATCTTAAAAAAATACAGGAACATGGTGGTACGAGCATGTGGCTGTCATTAGATTTGCAGAAAAGGAAAAAAAAAGTTATTTGTAAAGAATGGTTTTTTTGTATGGATAGGTGGGGAAGGGGAAAAAAGGTTAGAACTCCAGCAGTGGACTTAAGAACTCCCAAGCAGTTTTTAGGACCCGGTTTCTGAAGGTTCAGACAATGGAACAGTTTCTGGATCTAAGTGGCATCTGAACACATTTTGTTTTAGTTTATTATAGACAATGAGCTTGTAAACGGAAACAAGCCAGAGAAACCATTCAAAACCAAATCTGCCTTAAAAATTGGCTCCTACAATACATGTGCAAACGAGTCTTACTGAAGATTGCAAACTCAGTGCTCATTGTGAATTAGAAATAATAATCTATCCAAGGTGAGAATGTGGTGTGACTAATAAGCATGTGTAGCTCCTGTACCACACTATTTGCAATAAAATAAGTGAACAAAATATACCTGGAGTGAACAGGTATTTTGTTAGAGAATTATTACATCCATCTCTCTGTTTACCTCAATTTCATAAGCAGAAGCAATGACCGATTATATGCAACTTCCAGTGTTAGACAGCAGTAGCAAAAGTGTATCTGGATTGATTCAAGTTCAAAGGACAAATAAGTCCAAAAAGATCCCTAATTTGCAAGCAAAAGAATGGAAGAAAATAATTACAAAGAACAGGATCTTTTAGGTGTAATTTTTCAACAGGAAAAATAAAGTTACTCTAGGCACCAGTGAAGGCTTGCTCTGAATTTAAAACAGGAAATCAGCAAAACATTAGAAAACACTGATTAAACCGGACATTTAGCTGGGGCATCCTAAACGCTTTTGGAGGTGTGAAAGACAGCTAGAGATCCTGCTCCTGTTCGGAGAACATCCATCGACTTCAGTAAGCGACAGAACAAATTCCATCGCTTTTTGGAAAACGCGGCGGCTCGGGCCCAGAAGGTCCCGTCAGCTGCCCCAGCACCGCACCGCCTCAGCTAGAGGCCTTAGTTCCCAGGGTCAGTATTTTCTATGAAAATCCTGCTGCATTATCAGTTTCAGCTCTTAAAAAATAAAAAAAAGTAAAAATCAAATCCTTTTAAAGAGCCACATCAGCTAGCTGGGACCAGGAGCAAGACATCCCCTCAAGGTTTTTTTCCTCCCCTTTTCTTTTAAAGTCACAGGTTACACAAATATCTCATTTATGTAATTAAAGCTGTTGTGGTAAGAATACAGAGCAGCAGTAACCAATCACAAGAGGATTAAAAAGTTTGGCATACTTAGCGGTTACACAAGTGGATCAGTAGAAATTTAATTGGGGAGAGGAGAACAGAAAATTCTGCCCAATAAATCATCAAGTCTTCAGCACACCTAGCTCTAAACCTCCAAATTTCAAAAACAGAAACCTCCCAGAGGCAGGCCCGGAGCACGATGCGGCCCCGGACGGGGCCCCCGCGGCCCCCCACGCAGCCGCCGTGGGGACCCGGCCCCGGAGCCTTCCTCCGAGGG